GATTTTTAATAAGAAAGACACTTGCACTGAATGTTTATTGAAGCAAAATTAACAACTACAAGGGTGTGGCATAAACTCAAGTGCCTATCAATTTATGAGTAGATTAATAAAATGTGACATAGCATACCATGGAGTACTACTCAGCCACAAAAAAGATGAATTAATACCTTTTGCAAAACTTTGAATGGAACTGGAGACCATTTTCCTAAATGAAATATCTCAAGAATGGCGAAAGAAACACCACATGTAGTTGCTATTAATTTGGAACTAACCAAAAACCACACATGTACACAGAGGAAAGTAAAACTCAGTGAAAATCCACTGGAGGAAAGAAGGCGTAGAGAAGACAGAAAAACCTACCTAATTTGGTACAGTGAATACTATTTGGATGATGGGCACACCTAAAGCCAGGACTCAAGCATTATATGAGCAATCCATTTTACCTAAACCATTTGTACCCACTTAATATTTTGATGTTTTAAAAAAGAAGACAGACAAATGGCTAAGAAATATGTGAAAAATACCTAATACCATTAATCCTCAGAGAAATGCAAATTAAAACTAGGAGATACCACCAAATCCTTGTCACAGTGGCAGCCTGGGTTCCCCCAACCATTGCAGGGTCTTCAGTGAGGGCAGGTGACACAAGAAAAGACTCAGACCCAGTTATCTCAGATGAAATAACTGATGGGAAAATGTGAGAGGCATACATTATAGCATCTAGCAAGTGCAGCCTTGGCCCCTTCTCTCAAAGGTCTCCTTATTCAGTCAAAAACCATAAATCATGTTAATAATGTAAAACATAAAGTGAATTTTAGTTATTCAAGCACAGTGTCCAGACTAATTATCAACAGAAGAGAAACAAAAGAAAGGAAATCATGCAAGCACATCATGTGATTACAACATACACTTTACAAATTGTGGGTACGTGGGCAATCTTTAATTTGCCTAAATTGCTTTGGTGATTCCCACTGAACCCTGGGCAGGACTCAGGCAACAGTGATCTTCACTTGCCAAGGATTCCGTTCTCAGTCACTTGATATCAGTCAAGCCATTTGCAGCACCTGGAAGGGCAGGGTTCTGGACTCTGGTCAAGCAGGACAGACAGAATGCTAATCCTGAGCCACCAGGCACCAGATATCCTGTGTAAACCACCAGGTATTGCTAACTTCACGTGTAATGTGTCAGCACTTACAGAGTGTGAGGAACCTGGACTCTGGCCAACGAGCCCTCCAGAAATGCTTGTCCCCAACTACACTACAAACCTAACTCCCACACGTCAAGAAGGCCATTATTTAAAAGTAAAAACAGTGATAGATGCTGGCATGCATGCAGAAACCAGGATTTTTATACATACTTGGTGGGACTGCAAATAGTATAAACTCTATAGGAAACAGTAGGGAGATTCCCCCAAATAAATAAATGTAAAAAGAAGTTATTTTATAAAAATACATATGCACTCAAATGTTTATTGCAGCACAAGTCATAATTGCAAAGATGTGGAATCAACCTAAGTGCCCATCAATTCATTGTACATACAAAAATACTATTATTCTAAGTGAAGAATCTTAGAAATGGAAAACCAAACACCGTGTGTTCTCATTAATCATTCAAAACCATGGATAGGGAAGGGTGAGAGCCTGAAGAATAGACATGCCTACGGAGTGCAATGAATATACTGGTTACAGTCATACCAAAAGGCCTGACTCAAGCATGATACAAAGCATCCAGGTAACAAAAATATCTGTACCTCCTTAATAATTGCATTTTTTTAATTTTAAAAATTAAAAATATGGAAACTATATACTGTGCAACAAAATGAAGTAAAAAACAGCAATAGTTAATATAGTGTCATTATTATTATTATTATTATTATTTTGAGACAGAGCCTCAAGCTGTCCCCCTGGGTAGAGTGCCCATGGCATCACAGCTCACAGCAGCCTCCAACTCCTGGGCTCAAGCAAGACTCCTGCCTCCACCTCCCAAGTAGCTGGGACCACAGGCGCCCGCCACAACGCCTGGCCATTTTTTTTGGTTGCAGCCATCATTGTTGTTTGGCAGGCCTGGGCTGGATTTGAACCCGCCACCTTAGGTGTATGTGGCTGGCACCTTAGCCGCTTGAGCCACAGGTGCCAAGCCAATATAGTGTCATTATGTAGGGCAAAAGTAATTATTGGAAATGCAGTTTAATAATGATATTTTTCAAAATATTAGTTATATTCTTTTAAAATGTGTGTACCTAATAATACTATTTCAACATAGAACTCAAAAGAAGTGAGTGAATAAATAATCACCATGTAATAAACAATTCTGACTCACTGTTTGTTACACAGGTATATCAGTGAGCTTATAGAAAGATTTAAAATAGATAATTAATCATTACAAACATGCACTACACACACACACACATACTCTACACTAATACAGAACACTCATATTTTTAAGTTCTCATGGAAAATTTTCCAAAATGTACTATGATCTCATAATTCCAAGCAAGCTAATATAAAAATACAGTACTGTGCTCCCAATACACTGCTGCTAGCTGCTTGGCCAGTGGACATGTATAATATAGCCTTTCACTTTAAATTATAACTAATTAAAAATAAACAACACTTAAAACCAATTCCTCTATCACACCACCATATTAGAAGAAACATGTAGAACATTTTAAGCTTTGCAGAAAATATTCTAATTAAAATCTATTTAAATGGAAGTCTATAACCTAAAAATTTAAAATCTACATTATTTTTAGTTGTGATATTACTAAAGAAAGAGAGAGAAGGAAGGAGGGGAGTGAGAAAGGGAAAAGCAGAGACAGGGAAGGAGGAGGTACATGAGGGGTGACGGTGTGTGACACACGTTTTGGGGGCGGGACACAATCATAAGAGGGACTTTACCTAACAAATGCAATCAATGTGACTGGTTCTTTGTACCCTCAATGAATCCCCACCAATAAAAAAGAAAAAGAAAGAGGCAAAAAATTAAGACAATATACAGTCACCATTTCCACTATATGAATTATCAGTAAAGTAGAGCAAAGTTCCTTTACTATAAAAACTAAATTCACAAATGGAATTATCTGAACATGGATGAAAATTTTTTAAGTTGAAATTACATTCAATTAAGTGGAAATGAAATAGAAGAAAGGAAATAACAAATAGTATAAAATGATAAGACACAATTAATAGAAAGGGTCAAGAAAACCAGTGATATTTTCATTGAAAATAATAAAATTGATAAAAGACTAATTATGTAAGAACGTACCTGATGAGGCACAAATATTTATTTCTAGATTAATTGTGAGCATATATTTTAGATATTACAGATAAAAAACAAGTAATGATTCCTCTTATAAATACAATTTAATATACTTTTGAAATAAAAATTACTAAATTCCACAAATGACCAAAATATAGTAATAAAAAGTACCTGAGTAAGCACTACATGTACTAAACAAATTGAGTTTCTTAAACAAACATTCCCACAAATATATTCTACAGACTCAGATCCCATCACTAATGAATAACATTTCAAAATGAAACTCTTACACAAAGGCTTCCAGGGCATCAAAAAAGAAATGCTTTCCAGCCTAGTCTCAATAGCAAGAACTTTCAAGTGCATAGTGATGAATAAAAGCATAATACAATCACCCTGTAAACATGGATGAAGAAATAAATCTTACTTCTAATAGAATATATGCACAGATCTTTTTAAAGGGATGATACGGAATAACCAGGATGAGTTTATCTCAGAAACACAAGCCTGGTTTAACATTTAAAAGAAATAAAAACAATATAGCTTATACACATTATACAGGGAAAACAAATATAATATAAATGCTGCAAAATGGTAAAAATACAACATTGATTCAATGCAAAATATATTAGAAAATGGGAATATTATAAAATTACTGAAGTATGAGAAAGTTATGATAAAAATTTTTTAAATATGATTGAAATGTTGAAATCTCATCCAAAACAGGAAATAATACATGTATAATATACATAGAACCATTATTGTACTTTTTCTTCATCATTGAAAATAATTTTTTTTTTTTTTTGACACAGGGTCTCACTTTGTCACTCTGGGTAGAGTGCTGCAGCTTTAAAAAGTTTATGGCACCAGGGGAAAAAAGTGTGATTATAACAGGTAAAGTAGTAGTTTACATCAAAAATCTAGAAAAGTCTATACTCGAATTACAGGATTTAATACACAAAATTGATGAAGTAACTGGATATAAGATCAACATGAAAACCTCCGTTGTATTTCTACAATAAAATAAAGAAAATTTAAAAATAAGGATGCTATTTACTAAAGCATAAATGGAAAATAACTATATTTCTACATGACTTCAATACCAAAAATACAAAATATGACAGAGAGAAATTAAAGAAAAACTAATAGATTTCCAGAAATAGCATGATATTGCTTGGAAAAGTCAACTTTATAAAGAGGCAGAATATTTAAATATGACAGCCCCAAACATAATCACAGGAGAGTTATTTTCAAATATTTTTTATTGAAATGTCATGTAGATTGTATCCATTTAGTGCATTTAGGTACACAAATAAGTAAACTTTTAGTATATTTACAGATTCACAACTAAAGTCACCTATGAAGGTTGCAAAATTTTTGTCACCCCAAAAGGAAAAAATGTAATTTATGGTCACATCTTATTCCAATCTCCCCTTAGCTTTTGGCAACCACTACTCTATGTTCTCTATGGATTTGCCAATTCCTGATATTTCATATAAACAGATGCACATAACATGCAACTTTAACAAGGTGACATGCCACAAACACAACGCTCAGCAAATAGAGCCAGACACAAAAGAAATGATATTCTGTTCTTTGTGTTTTGTGTATTATACCGCAAATATTTTTTAGTCTTTTCATTTGTAAACAAATAACAATTCATGTTGACTTATTCAATAACTATATTATTTCCATTTCATGAAATATAAAATTGTACAGCAAATCCAAACTCAGGTGCCTTACTACTAAAGCTTATGCTTACAGATATAAAATTTTGAAGATCCACATCCGTCTGATTGAAGTCTAAGAGAGGATGATAGCTCAGCACAATTACGTTTACCTGATTTTATTTCAACTATTCTGCAAAGGAGAAAAATACATATTTCTGCCATACTTTATGGGAACAATCCAAGAATTGAGAGCATTTTCCATGTAATTTAAGAAAAAAAATTAATGAATACAATTAATGACATTTCAATGCAATGTCAGTAAGAGGTGCTATTATGAAAACTGAACACAGTAGCCCCCCCCAATATCTATAGGGGATGTGCTTCAAGATCACCAATAGATTCCTGAAGTCACCTATTTTGCTGAACTCTACTATATACTGTGTTTATTCTGTGCATATATACACATATGATAATGTTTTATTAATAAATTAGGTGCTTCCAGGCATGGCTCATGCCTGTAATCCCCATACTTGGGAGGCTAAGGTGGGTGGATTGCCTGAGCATATGGGTTCAAGACCATCTTGATCCAGAGTTAGACCTCATCTCTAAAATTAACTGGGCGTTGTGGTTGGGCACCTGTAGTGCCAACAACTTGGGAGGCTGAGACATAAGGATCACTTGAGCCCAAGCGTTTGAGTTTGCTATGAGCTATGAAGCCACTGCATACTAAGTGTGACAAAGTGAGATTCTGACTCAAAAAATATATACATATATTACGTATATGCTTATATATAAATGTATGCATATATATATATATATGCACATATACATATCTCAATTAGGCACAAGAATGAATTAAAAACAACTAATAAAACAAAAGGGTAAGTATAACAACATGCCAGCATCACTAATCTTTGCCTTTCGGTAATTATTAGGTAAAATAAGAGGTGCTTGAATGCAAGCACTGCAATATTATTACAACTGATCTGCTCACAAGAGGAAGGATGTGAAATTTCATCCTGCTACTTACTCAGAACAGTGAGCTCATAAATGCTTTTTTTCTCGAATTTTCATTTCAAAATATTCTGACCATGGTTGACTACATTTACCTCAAACTACAGAAAGTGAAACCATCAATAAGGAGAGCCTACTGTGGTCCATTCCTTAATATTTAAGTCAACATTTCCCTAACTTTCAACATCTTCTTCACGTCTGTAATTCAATTTAAACTTACTTATATTAGTCTGCTCTATTTCCCCTGTTTACAATTTTCCTACTAAATAGCACCATTGGAAAAAAACTTACTTTAGTTTGAAAGTTGAGCCTTTTATTGACACCCATGG